ACCATTTTTCTTTTAAACTCATTAAACATCTTTTCATCTTTAATTTCAACTATATAATTAACTCCTTGATTGTCATATTTTATTATCTCAAATTCTTTTACTCCTATTCTTTCTATTATTTCCATCGTTATTTCATTTTCTTCATATATAAGATATATGACATTCTTGTCTATAGGAATTTTATTAATCGTATAATGTGGAATAATACTCATTTTATTCACTTGTTTAATTATTTGATTCATCCATATTTCATTTTCTTCCATGTTTATGTCTTTTAAGTTCTTTTTTTTCTTTTTTCTTTTCTTTTTTAAATGATTTTTCTCTTCGAGAAAATAAGAAATAATAGAGAAATAATATATGTAGAAAGAATACCTGTAATATTATCAATAAATGGATTAATACATAAAGAATCAGTAAGAAGATTAAAATCACTGAAATTACAATTAGACTTTTCCAAAATCCTACGAACAATAATTATCAAAAATATGAAAGACTTAATGTTTTATATATTCAATTCTTGCAGTACATTAGAAAAAGAACAATCTAATGCAAGCATGTTAGAAATGAACTCTAATACATCAATAGAGCATAATGAAGAAACTGAAATAATCACTTCTCAATATTCATAAAATCCAATTGTGGATATATCTAATAATTGACCTTTTTTGTTTATTATGTATTTCTTATCATTTAAATTATAAAATGAAATTTCTTTTATTCTTTAACAATTCAATTATCTTCTTTCTTTATTTCTTCTTTAATATTTTTTAAAGCAATATTTTGGTATTTTTTTATTCTTCTTTAATTTTTCTTCACATCCACAATGGTAAAAACAACAAATTTCAAATGATGTAAATGATGTTGGTATATTAATTGATGTTAATGATGAACATTCATAAAAACAATATTCTCCTATTTCACTTATACTTGTTGGAATATTAATTAATATCAATGATTCACACCAACCAAAACAAGTATTTCTTATTTCATTTACACTTGTTGGTATTTCAATTGATGTTAATGATGTACATTCTCTAAAACATTCATTTCCTATTTCAATTACACTTGTTGGTATATTAATTGATGTTAATGATTTACAATATTCAAAACATTCATTTCCTATTTTAGTAACATTTGTTTGTATTTCAATTGATTTTAATGATTCACAACCATAAAAACATTCATTTCCTATTTCAATTACACTTGTTGGAATATTAATTAATATCAATGATGAACATCCTTCAAAACATTCATATCCTAATTTAGTAATTGTTGATGGAATAATAAATTTATTAATATCTTTCTTTTCAATATTCTTTCCATTTATCATTTTTAAATTTTTTGGTATTTCAATACTAATTAACACTGGTTCATTCATAAATATTCTTTCTTCACTTATATACTTTATATCTTCTATATTAATTGATGTCAATGATGAACATCCATCAAAACATCCATATCCTATTTCACTAACACTTGTTGGTATATTAATTGATGTTAATGATGAACATCCATCAAAACATCCATATCCTATTTTAGTTACACTTGGTGGTACAGTAATTGATGTTAATGATAAACATCCGGAAAAACAACTATCTCCTATTTTACTAACACTTGTTGGTATATTAATTGATTTTAATGATGAACATAAAGAAAAACAACATTCTCCTATTTTACTAACATTTATTGGTATATTAATTGATTGAATATCATTACATCCATAAAAACAATTAATTCCAAGTGAATTAACTTCTATTGGTATTGTATTTCCATATTTCTTTCTATCTTCTTCTGTATATTCGATATTTTTACATTCATTCATTTCTTCTTTCTCTTTTAAATATCTTGAATATTCTACTTTATACCATATTACATATTTAATTATTTTTCCATCTTTAAATATTTCATCATATTTATTATAAATATGAAATGTTTCAATATTAGGAAATAATTTTCTTGAATATTGATTCAATGGAATTGGATTAAAATGAAATCGTTCCATATTTCCTTGAAATCTTTTAATTCCCATTTCTAAATTAATAAAATCATTAACATCTTCAAAATACTTCGAGACAATCATTATTTCATTATATCCTAATTGCATTCTTTCTTTATTATTTTATCATTTATTAGTTCTTCTTTTATTTTTAGTGTGAACTTCTTTTATTTTTAAAATAACCGTCATTCATTTTTTCTTTTTTTTATTTTTTTTAATATAAATTATTAATAACAAATAATTTATATTTCAATAAATTATTATTTATTATTTATTTGATGAAGATGAAAATGAATAAATATCATAGAAATGAAATATTACAAATGATAAATAATCAAATAATAAATATAACAATAAATTGATAATATGAATAATAAAGAAATGAATAAATCAATGAATGTAATGTATTTATTTCTATCTTTCTTTATTTCTATCACTTCAATTTTAGAATTTTCATTTTTTAATTTATTTTAATTATTTGTTATACAAAACAATATATAATTCATATTTATTAATATAAATGAGTGTAATATCATATTTAACTTTAATTGTAATTTAATACATATAATATTCATATTAATTCATTGTATATTAAATTATTAATGATATTAAATAAATTATTTCATTATAATCTTATTTCTCTTTTTTATTTTAATTTGTAATTTATAATTCATTCATTTTCATCATATTTTAATTACATTTATTTGAATTACATTCATTATTTCTATTTCTGATTTGATTTTATTCGGATACTTTTCCAATTCAGGATATAAACAAATTTTATTGCCATTGTTATGGAGTAATGCCTTGATGTCTTGTAAAGAAAAGCAAACAAGACATAGAAATACAAGGTTAAATACCAATAACAACAATAAAAGATATTAAGATTATAATAAAAGATATCACAATTATGATAAAAGAAATACCAAGAGAAAAGGGGGTTAAAAACAACAAAGACAAAGAAAAGCAAATAAAAAACATGATAAATACTGGAATAATAATGAATATACAAACAATAGACATAGATAGTTAACAATAAAAGAGATACATGAAAGAATAAAAGGAATAACAAGTAAATGGGAAAAAGGAGAATATGAAGAAATACTCAAAAAATATGAAGGTAAAAGGAAAAGATGGTATGATATCCTTCAAGAAGTATATGCAATTAGAAAGAAAAAGAGAATTGAAAAAATGCAAGAAAAATTTAAGGAAAGAACAAAATGATGGGAAGAAGATATCCAAGCAATTGAAGCAGAAATCAAAAGCAGAAATCCAATCAAAGAATTACAAAAAAAGATGTAAAATGGCTAAAATAATAAATGAAACAGAAAAAGAAAGAAAACACAAGAAGAAAACAAAGAAGAAACAAAGAATGAAAAGGAAAATTATAAAGAAAAAGAAGAAATTAAAGTACTTCAAAAACAGATTAAAAAATTAGAAGAAGAAATTAAAGAATATCAAGCAAAAAGAAAGGAAGAAGAACAAGCCATCTCAGATGAAATGATAGAAAAAGCAAAAGAAATAATTAGAAAAGAATTTGAGAAAGAAATAGAAAATATGAAAAAAGAAATTAAGAAGGTTCAAACGAATTATAATGAAAAGAAGAAAGAAAATGAAAAACTAACAGAAGAAAATATAAAATTACAAGGTGAAATAAATGAGATAGAAGGAAAATCATGGAAATGAATAACAAAGAAGAAACCATTCGAAGTCTAAAATCCACTAAAGGGAAGTTACAGAAGGAAAATGATGAACAAAAGGAGAAAACAGAAGAGCTGAAGAAAAAAGGAGAAATACTGGAGAAGAAGAATAGTGTGTTAGAGGAAAAAGCAGAAGTACTAGAGAAGAGTTGAGGAGCTGAAAAGTAAAATAAGAGATAAAAAAAAACAAATCTCTGAAATTCAACAAGCAGCAATAATAAGTCATGAGATTGCAGAAAGAACACGAGAAGAATTAGACAACACACAAAAAGAAAATGAGACACAAAAACAAATAATATCAAAACAACAAGATGATATTGTAAATTTTATCTCACAGAAGGAACTAGAGAAGAAGAAAACGATGACACTTGTGATAAATACACAACCAGTATTGAGGAAAGCATCATCAGGAACGATGGAGATGAACGAAACTACTCCTATAAAAAGACAGTAGTGGAAATCAAAGAGAAAAGCACTGATTGTCAAAAAAACAAGAGATGATAATCAGACAAGAAATACAACAAACCAAACAAATAGAATTTTAATTGAAGTGTTGTATTGTTTTGCAATTAATTGGTTGAATAAGAAATTATATAAGAAATTAAGATGGGAAAAAATAGAAAGTATAATAAAAGTGACAAACATCAATGTCAATAATGAAAATGAATATATTAAATATATTAAAATGTCACATAAAATAAAAGAAAATACTAAACAATACATTAGAGTGAAAGTAAATGATATAATAGAAGAGTAGAGTGTAATTCAATAATAAAGAAAAAACATCATATTAAAGAATAACTCTACAGAAATTGATGAAGAATACCTTAACACTCTCATCAATAAAATAAAAGAAATGAAAATAGAAAAATGTACAAACATTAATTACTACTGGAAGAGAAAAGAAGCTGACCGATTAATAATGGAAATTAATAATAGATGGGTATGTTCAGGAAGCAGAATGGATTATCTGCAAGATGATATGAAGATGATTTCAATGATTATGCACATCTATCTCCAAAATAAAATAATAAGAGATAAATTTGATGAATTAAAAGAAATCCTAAAGAAAATTAATAGAATAGAAGATTTGGTCAAGGGAAGAAAATTGTACAGAATCAAGTGCATCATGAAATTAAATGAACATGATGAAGAAGGAATAAAAGTTAAAGCACTAGAAAGAATAAAATACCTAAAATATATGATGACAATGATTAAAGAATTAAATTTAATAAAAATGAAAGGGTCAGAATCAATACAAATAAAATCATGTTTGATTCTAACAAGAAAATTAGAATAAGGAAGAAAGACCCAAAAAATGAAATATACCCAAATAACGATATTACTTTAGAATATTGGAAATCGTTATATGAAACACAGGTGATATTAAATAAAGAGAAATGGAAAATAAAACAAATCATCTCGTGGAATGAAATATATAGAAATTATGATAATGTCATAATAACATTAAATGAATTAAATTTAAGTATAATGAGAATAAGTAACTGGAAAGCACCAGGAATAGACACTATATATGGGTATTATTGGAAAAGGATGTCATCATCAAGAGAAATCATTCTCAATATCTTTAATGAATGGTTAAACTTCATTCAAAACATCTCATTAGACATGGTAAGTGGAAGAACTTTATTAATCCACAAAGTGATATGAATAATGTCAATAATTATCGTCCTATCAGTTGTACAAATGTAATTATGAAAGTATTTACCTCCATATTAAAAGAAAAGATTCACAGAAGACTTAACATGAATTGTGAATCATTGAAAATTAGTAATAATCAACTGGGATGTAAATTACAATCTTTAGCTGCTAAAGAAGGAATAATTAATAGTTACATGTTAAGGCAGCAGAAAGAAGAGAAATACCCAAAATATGTGGAGTCATATTATGACATTAAGAAAGCATATGACACTGTCAACCACGAATGGGTAATTGAATCATTAAAGTATTTTAACGTAGAGGGTGTCATCATTGACATTATTGAAAGTATGATGACTAGATGGAAGATATTCATCGGCTATAAATTTAATGAATATCTATGTAGTATTAAATTAAATAGAGGAATTTTACAAGGTGATTCCTTATCAAATCTACTCTTCATCATTCAGATGAATGTAATTTCTCAATTCATCGAAGAGAAATTCCCAAAATCAAACCACACTTTATATATTGATGAAATGAAAATAATGGCAGAAAGTAGTGAAGAAATGGGAATAATCCACAATGAAATTAAAGAAATAATAAGTGGAATAGGGATGGAAATGAATGAGAAAAAGTCAGGAATGGTATTAAAAAACATTAAGAAAATACCAAACGGAATGCAAAATATCCCCATAATTGAAGGTGAGGACTTGTATAAATACATAGGAATATGGCAGTCCGACGAAATTGATGACACCTTCAATTGTAAATCCATCAAAGAAAAAATGATGAAGAAGATGGAAGAAATAAACAGTGATGAATGTAGTAATAGAAGATATATTACTAGAATAAACACTGAAGTAATCAATATCTTCAGATATTCAGCATCAGTTGTAAATTGGAAAATCACTTAGATAAAATGGATTTGGAGATAAGAAAATATTTAAGAAAGGCAAAATACATTGGTGCCGGAAACTCTAAAGACTATCTATATGTCATTATAGAAGAAATGAATGATTAATAAATATAAATGACGAATATGTTATTGAATTAGTAAGAACAGTGATGTACTACTGTACCAGAGAAAGTGAAATAAGAAATAACATATTAGATAGATGGTACAGTAAGAAGGGAATATGGAATAGAATTAAAAAACATTAATTCATAAAATAAATGAAACAAAAATAGAAGAAATAATAAATGAAAGAAAAGAAAAAAGAAAAAGAAGTAGTAGTAGAAATAAAGAAATTATTGACAAATACATCAAAAAATGGAAGTGTCATCAAATTAGTGGATATTTTAGAAGATGGAATGAGTCAAAATGAGTAGATAAAACTACTACAGTTAAAACATGGAAGTCATTCAATATTAAGAAAAATACATTTCTCAAATTAACTAAAATGCAAGATGAAGCAATATTTTGTGGGTATAGAAAATCAAAAATAATGAAAAATGAAAGATTGAAATACTGCCCACTATGTAAAGACAAGATAGCCACAGTAGAACACATCCTACTATCTTGTATTTGTTATAAAAATCACAAATGGAAAAACATGACAATATTGGTATTATAATATTGATTAATAAGAAAATATACATGAAATAAACAATAAAAAACCTCCATATGAAACAATGTTCAAATATAAAGACATCACAATGATATGAACAAACAAATAATGCCTAAAAGTGATGGACAATATCACAAAAGACCAGACATATATGTGATAGATAAAAAGAATAAAACTG